TCGACGCGTCAGGCAGAGTTTCCAACGTTCCCGATCCTGTGCCAGAGTCTGAGCTTCGGCAGAAGACAACTGGAATCTGGAACTAACTCATTTCAGATATCTGCACCAGCTTAATCTTGTCCGTCCCCTGTGCGTTCTGGCAGTCAGTAAGGCAAGTAAGAGTTGCTTAGACTTCCTTTTTGGAGGCATTCGCAACACATGCCCAAACCATCGCAGCTGTGACTGGATGGCTCTCACCAGCTGGCCGTCTATCTCGCATGCTCGAAGGCATTACCACAGACTGTTACGCGGGATCCGGTCATAGGCTTTTTCTTGGTCAACAAAACACATATACACCGGGCCGGCGTATTTCTACTGTTTCTCAACAATCTGGCACAGGGCAAATACATGGTTAGAGATGCGCAGACTAGGGTGGAAGCTACGCGGCTCTTCTTGTATCTTGAGGTCAGTTACTTCGCGACATCTTCTTTATACCTCCTTTGCGCAGACTTTGCCTGGGAGGCTTAATAACGTAATGTCCCTATACTTGGAGCACTTCTTGTAGTTCTAATTCTTGAATACGGGGGCACAAACTTCCGCTCTCCGGTCCGCTGGTGTTGTTAAAGCAGTCATCGCAGTTTCTCAGCTCGTGTAAGCCAAGATATGCCTTGTTCGCCTAATAACTTGAGCATTTCAGTGCGAATTTCATCAATTCCAGCAGCCTTTCCGTTCTTCAAGCTTTTCACTGCTTGTGCAATTTTATCTACAGAGATAGTAATATCCGTTCCATGTTCCTCTACAGGCGAGTTTTCCTGCGGCTGTGCGGGGTTAAGGAGTTCCTCAAGGTACTCCCTCTAACGGCGAAGAATGTCATCATCCTTTGTAAGAGGGTGTCCAGACCTGTCCTTCAAGTCTCCTAGACAGCGCTTCTTTTCACCTCGAAGCCGGCGGATGGTCTGCCAGTATACTTTGTTCGCCGTGTGGAAATTGGACTCCAACACCTCACCGTCCTTTTTCCAGGAATCAGCTTTGGCTTTTGCCACTGCTTTCGCTGCCGTCTTTCGTGCATCGACATATTGCACCCAAGTGGAAGGCTTTTCGATTCCAGACCATTTCTTGAACGCTGCTTTCATCACTTTAACTGCAAATTCTATTTCTCGTGTCTACCAGGGTGATCTTTCCTGACCCCCAGGCGGCAGGTAAACCCGTTTAAATCCGCAGCATTCGGTGGCAGCCTCGAGTGTGCAGACTTAAAGAGTTGCGACTAGTTTTCCGCATCAGTTGTCATCACTGGGACCTGTTCAAACCTTCTTGCAGTGTTGTTTGCAAATTTCGCTCTCGTGTCCACCGAAGGTAATGTTTCCCATTTGATTCTCCTGTTGCTTCTGCCACCGGATCTTCGTATGGTACTCAATTTCTTACAGCGCAGCGTGCCAACAACAAGGTGATGATCGGTTGATAGCTCTGCGCCTCTCCTAACGCGAGCATCCATTATTGAGCGTCTTAAATCAGACGATACGATTATCAAATCGATCATCGACTTCTTGCACAAGCTTCCCGGTAGCAGATGTACTGATTCACTTTTCGAAACTGAAACAATTCATTGTTTGCAGAAAACCGCAACAACTTTATGCCGTTATTGTTGAGGTGGTTAGGACCGTTCTTTTTATTCCGCCGTTGCACTTTTCAGCGTCTACTTCGACATGCGCATTGAAATCGCTCATGAGTATGAGGGACTCTGTGTTCCGCACTTCGGAGAGAGAACACTGTATTTCTTGAAGGAAAGTATTATATTCTTAAATTGAGCGCATATACCTGCGAGATCAACGGTCAACGAGCATGTTATAGCTTCAGTCAGAGAATTCCAGCCTTCTATTGACAGGCTTTCAATCAATGACTCTATATCCGAGGTTATGTTCTGCCAGAACATCTGCACCTGCCTGACCGCGGGTCGTTGTATCGATACCTGAGTAGAATAGCTTCCGTTCGCTGAAGCTCACGAGTGTAGAGCCTTGGCGTTCGCTATCAAGAGCCCAACAATATCGAGTTGGTGTCTAGTGGCCTCATCAACTAACTCTTGTTCTTTTCGTCTGGGTGAGGGTATGTTGCAATTTCTGACTTTAAGCACCCCCTGTCGATGTCTTTCTCGAGTCCCCTTTTTTTTATGTGCTTTAATCGCATCCCGCTGTCATCCTCAATCGTTTAGAACGGGTTGCGGCTCCGTTGTTGACTTATATTTTCGTCGTCGTTGCGTCGGTGTTCTTCAGCCGTGGTTGTGCTACTACGCCCCCGGCTGGCAGAGGGCATTGAGCAGGTCATGTCATATTCAAATTTTTGATCAGAGAGTGGGCAGCCACTAGATTCACAACGATCTTGCATCTCAAGTTTGTGGGATCAGAGCTGGTGTAGCTGCCCTTCCGTTTTAGAATGACAAGTTCTGCTTTCTTGCCAGTGTTCTGTTCTACTGCCCTCACTTAGGCTGACGTTGATACCCCGGTAGAAACGTAGAACGTCACTGAATCTCTGCCTGTCGTCGAAAGATTTGCCGTTCTTCGAAAGAAGTTGTAATAAAAATAAACTTTCAGTGGGTGTCACAGGTACATGCGGCCATTTCAGAGGAAGAACATCAACTTTCTTGTATGGATTAGAAGGTGCCTCATAGAAAATGCCGACAATGAAACTCATCATTATGTTTGGCGATAACATTGCGCGCGTCTGATCCTAAACGGAGAATTGTAAAACTGTGATAGCAAAGAACGGTATTTATGCAACTAATAGAAACGAAATGAAATTGGCACCCTTTTCAGATAGCAATGGAATGTTTGTTGTAAACAAGGTCTTCAAACACGCGCATAAATCTGTCCGGTCTATGGACAGTTGTGCATAGAAATCAATGGACGACTTGATGATCGATTCGCCTGATGGGCGACACCCTGTATTACATGGCAAGAGAAGCTGATAATTACCTTATATTTGTCACACTGCTGCAAACGATGAAATTCACTGCGAAGTTCTGACAGCATAAACAATCTCAGAATTATATTGAAAACATTTTCTTCTGTGGATGCAATGGTGAAACCACCTGAAACATATCTGCTTTGTTTACCTCTCATCAAACACATCTGGAGCATTCTCAGCAATTTTCATCGTCAAGTGCAATATCGCTGGCATGCGTATGAACGTATCTAAAGCAAAAATCCTCGTTCTTTCCCGTTCTCTCGCCTCTTGCTCTCTGCTGATAGACAGAGAAGAAGCATAACAGGTTGAGAGGTAAACCTACATCTGGATCACGTTTACTAGTTGTAAAACTACAAAGGAAGGGATCGCCAGGTGAATTAGAATAGAGTTCTGCATGAACTAGTCCAAACCGTCATGCCCAAAACAGGGCAGAGTTTTAGGGTTAATGCATTTTAGCTGAAGTTAATCTTAATCGTATTGCACAACTACCATCATGAGTCTTGGGCTATGACTAAAAAATTTCGATCTCAGGAGCAACTGGTTGAAATAGGCTTTCTCAGACGAATCCCATGGCTAGGTGTCTCGACATGGTAGAAGTATCTGAGAAAGCACTTGTGAACAGCAGCTGCTGCTCCAGATTGAAAAATCGTAGCTGCGATAGTTTGTCATGTGTTGCGAATGATTCCAGAAAGGAATGCAAAACAATTACTGCTATCGTATCAACAGACTGAAGATCCAGGAATGGCCAATAATGACATGGGTCAAACGTCACTACACATTCATCATTAGACTCGGATTTTTTTTTATCGAAGATGAAATGCAGATACAGGTAGGGAACTTTGGAGAACTGTCTGATGCATCTGCCTCTACGACCGGAAAGGATAGATGGTGTAGTAAAATTGACCGAAACTGACAAAAAACGCATTATATCTTCAAATAGCATTAGCTTAGTATACTTCTAATAAACTAACGGCATTTTCATAATATTTATTTTTCTTCTGAACCGTAATCTCCGTAGGTACGCATTGTGTTGCTATGCTAGAACAGCGAACAAGTGTAAGCATAGCCAGATCTGTATCTGACCAATCATCCATGATGCTAGATGTTTGGCTGAAACGAGTGACTTAACCGTGGAAAGGTCACCATCTCGTTGCACCAAGCTGTTCCATTTATAAACAACGGCGCAGTTCACCTTGACCGAAATTTGACTTCGAAATATATTGAAATGCTTGGGAAATGAGGATGTAGCCAAACGGACGTAGGTTACATTTCAGCGAGATGTTTTCAGATACAAAACTAAGGCTCAGAGTTGAAAACAGAGGGTAGGTTATAAAAAGTTATCCCCCATTCTGCTGCGAAAGAAAGTGACATGAAAGTGTTACTGTGGAATGAAAAGGAGTGACAGATGGAAATATAAAACATGTGATGACGTATGACTAGAGATTGCAATCAAATCTTAGTTTTAGTCCTAATTTTGTGACGATGTATATTATGAGAACCGGACTAAAGACTAACTTGACGGCTGCTCAAGCATTTGGTTGCTGCTCAATAACATAATTGTACGGTTGTCTTTAATCTATGTGCAATAAAGTATGACGTTGCCGCGGACCACTTGACCAGTGTCCCTGCAAATCTTATACTGCCAGTGCGTCTAATTCTAATTGCTTCTATTGATGTTAGTATTAATCGAAACTCGGACAGGGTATCGACAGTTTAAAATCATGTCTTTCTTTAATCCATCGTAAATTCTTATCACCTTTTAAACAGTATTTTGCTTAATACTGAACATGGTTGGTTCATTTATCGGTGATGTAATCATTGTGTTGTTCAGGCACTTAAATGGATTGATTGGTATTCAAGCGCGATTATGGGTTCTAACAGTTCCTCTTCAACGCGCAGCTGAATTTATGGTTTTAAAGATTATCTTGTTTAAATTTTGTATGAGTTATTTATTTGCCATTTATTAAAGCATCGAAAATCCCATCAGTTTTAAAATGATGACTCCTTTGATGATCTCGGATTGACATCTCGTGGCTTAAGGAATCTGATTGCGCCATCAGCGAATGAACCGACAACATACTATGGATTTGGACTGTCTGTCGATTATAAATCTTCTGGATTCTGACCGACCGGTTTTCTTCTGCGCACCGATGGTGCGCTATTCAAAGTTAGTTTTTTTCAGCATTTTTGCCGCCTGTCGTTTTTATTCTTAATCGTGTTTCAGGCTGGCTTTTCGACAGCTTGTTCGAAAGTACAACTGCCACGTGTGCTATACACCTATGATCTTCGCTTCCTGTTTCTTGCAGTCTGATTGCGCGAGGGATGCTGATTTTACGACTTCATCAAGTATACATTGAATATTTGAAGATTTTTGTTGCGGGTTAATTGATTGATTACGGTTTTGGGTTATGATTTACAAGCTCAGTCAGCTTTGAATTATTGAACCTTTAAAATGTCGATGAGTTTTGTGGGAATTAGAGTGGATTTTTCCATACGGTGTAATGATGCTGTTAGTAATAGCTATTTCGATATAATTTCAAAAAATAACTCTTCTGTTGATAATTCTTCGGAACTTAGAAGGTATTCGTTGAATTATCAGACATTATCAAAGAAAGGAATTTAACAGGATGTTAGGTCAGGCTGCAGCAGTACAACCATATATGGTAAATGCTACCTAACTGGGCTTTTAGTTTTGGACATTCCAATTTAGGGGAGTGTGCAGATAAAGAGGAGCATGCGCTGAAAAAGTACGCTTAGTTTTATAATTAGATAGCTGTCTTTTTTTGACGCAGTGAATTGTTATCACCAAATCGTAACAAGTGTTCAAGTCGGTGAGAAATCACACTCAAGAGTGGCTGTTAATATTCGTTCCAATAATTGTCGAGAACTATTCAGCACTATGAGTAAATTGGAAATTACAGCTAAATTTGTATCATTGTCGAAATGGCTTCTATTTAAATTAGGGACTCCTCTTGCTGATTTACCAAGAAAAATCGATGAGACATTATCAGTGCAGTTGAATGCAAATGATACTTAATTAACATACGGATTAATACAAAAGTACGCACATAAATCGTTACCCCATGTGGAGGGCACTGTAATCGCTGAGAGCTTCGCAGTAGGTTCTACTGAACTTTCGTGTAACTTAGTCGACTTGTATCTTTCACGCAAGCACACGTTGGTCATCGTTCGTAAGTTGGCAGCTGTTGACAAATAGATGAATAAAAAGCAGTCGATTGGAACCGCGTAATCGTTCCGTTAAGTGGTGCATTTTTCATATTTTTGGCAACTGAATGTCAAGCAAACTGTCATTACTCGCATAACATTTCGCCAATTCTCAGTTACATCGTCTGCGTTGTTTTTTATGCAAGCATTAATTAAATTTGGTAAAATTGAATTAAATCGAGCAGTCACAAATTCTTTTCCTACCACATCGCAGAAATGAATTGTAAGCTTCTTCTGATAACATTTTCATACTTTGATGCTATGATACTTGGCTGATAATTTTTTGTTCATCAGTGAACATTGCTATTAATTTTTATTTGTTAGTCGTTTGTGCATGATTGATAACTGCTCATCTTGAAATTTAAGCGAAATGAGTGTCGTGACTGAGATACAGTTAGAAAAATATTTTGCAGTGAGACATGTAGTCCTCTAACGACTTTATTCCCGCCACAGTAGAATGTCCAGTGAGTCATATCTGGCCTTAAATATTTTATCCCGCCCCCTCAGATTGGCTTATACGTTTCGTCTAATTTTAAGCTCAGTAGAAATCAAAATGAACTGGAAAATCTATTTAATAGTGCGTGAGCTTTCGTTTTTCCCAAGTGTTGTCATCTGTAGAGACGGCAGACATAATGTCTGCGAACATTTTTATTGTGCTTTCCTCGTTGATTAATACGGACGATCGTCTCCAGACTTTCCAGACCATGTGTGGCGTGGCAGGTAATTGAAACAAGCAGAAGTGTCCTATATTAATAAGTGCATGACATAACTACAGTTTTCGGCGAATGAAGCCCATATAAAAGACAGCCCTTGCTATGCATGTCTTTTATAGTCACATAACTAGTGTGTGGCAGTATGATCACGCATCTGTCAAGTTGGTAAAGATGGTTGATCCTCTTGTGGGCGTGAGCTGATGGTTGAAAGGAAGCGTCCCGAGTGGAAACAAATCCATACCTACGCCATTTCAAATTTCAATGTGAAATAGACTGTCTAGTTGTTTCAGACAACAACCATGGAATACCTAACACCTTGTTGAAAGAATGCCTTTTCAATATGACCTCCAGTGCATAAAATAATGGAATGTTTTTAACCGTTTGAATGTCATTATTCCTTATACTTACGTTACGGGACTATTTCTGGCGCTTTTCCTCGCATGAAGTGTATGGTGGGCCGACGATATGCATTTCCATACCATCAGTCAGGACTACCTTATATTAAACGCAGAGTCGACAGCAGCTATGTGGCAAGCATAGTGTGTAGGCTTGTTTCCTTTTCGCAGAGTGGCGCTCAGTTATCAACTTCAGCGGGAAGAAACACGACTGTGGTTGGAAGCCGGGACTTTCTCATGAGTTTGACGCTCTACTGGTTAGGCAACCTCGGTTTGAAGTGTGGTAAACTCGTAATTAAGGTAATTCATGGTTACGACAACGATTTCTCCTCCGCCAGAATGGAACCTGACACTTCCGGAAGTAGAAGCAGATCTCTTAGGTACTATGACAATACGCAGCTAATACATGAGCTGAATATTGAATGCAACTAATGAGCTAGTACTGTTTTCATATCTAAATTATTGCTATATTACAGGCATGTACTAGTAATATGTAGCTGATTTCAGGGCGAATTGTTTTAATTGGGATTTCATCGCCAATAAATACATCAAAATCTATTAGAAATGCTAATAAATTGACCCCAGGTTTTAAGAGTTAAACCTGTAACTGCTGCATGATCAGATTGCTTAATTCGAGGCACTGATTAATTGTCGATGTGTCAGTTCATAGCATTCATTTTCAGGTGATCGTCCGCTAGTTGTTCAGTTTGCGGCCAGCTGCGCCTCTGACTTCGCAAAGGCAAGCGAAATGCTTCTAAGGTGCTGTCACATGCTTTGTTTCTTGTTATAATTTTACGACGGGTTTTTAGATATGTAGATGGCATAGATCTGAATTGCGGCTGTCCACAGAGGTTCTCATTAGTTTCTTTTATTGCTATTACCGTATGGTGATGTTAGGCGTGTCCGAGCCAAATGCTGTGGCAGCTCCCTTCTCGATCAGCCTGATCGTATATCAGACATCGTCAGACAGACGAGGCAACGCGTCGGTGATCGCCTGTCATTATCCATTAAAATTAGGCTTCAGGATGACTTGAGGTAAGTTTATAGCCTGTGCTTTAGGTTATACTTTTCCAATCTGGTCCGGTTACTTTTCCAATCCAATCCAGGTTTCCAATCTGTATTCAGTATCATTCATAATATTATATGGATTTTAAACATCAATGGTTCTTGTAGGAAAACCGTTGATTTATGCAGAAAGGCAGAAGCTGCTGGAGTGTCATACCTTGTTGTGCACGGACGAACACCAGCACAGAAACACGATCCTGTAGACATTGAATGCTTTAGAATCGTTAAGAGTAGCATCCGCATTCCTGTCGTTGCCAACGGAGACATCTTCTCTTTGAACGATGCTCATCGTGTATCAACAAAAACGGGAGTTGATGGTACATTAACTACGTTGAAGAATCCGTTCTTTTTATCTTACAAGTTTCTTAGGTGTGATGTCTGCACGAGGTCTTCTTCACAACCCGGCATTGTATACAGGTGCTGTGGATACCCCTGTGGAGTGTATCAAGGATTGGGTAAGTTTACACAAATGGCATATCTGTTTTATGCAGCGTCACCAGTGATGCATGTTGGGAATTATGCCCTAGGAGTCAGTAATTAGATTGTGCAGTTACGCTGCATTAATTGTCATAGATCGTTTGATACCATAATATAGTAGTAATTAAGAGAGTTGCGTGGAGCTACTGCATCGACTAGGTGCTCACCTGCTTACTACTGTTCAAATCACTTTTGTTGATGCCCTTCCCAATTGACATTCTGCAGTTAAACTACTAGTAAACTTTCGTGTTAGTACGTTGCAGTTTAGCACATTCTCAGAGTCACTATACGCCCGTTTTGATCTCACTCTATGGCTGTGGACAGAAAGTAACTTGTTTTTGTTTTTCTGTGCATAAATATCTGGTCTGCAACCTATGTAGCCTTTTTTGTGTTTGATGGATGGTTTGGTGTGTAGTGGATTTAGGGAGACTGTTACTTGAGTGGATGGATGATTATCTTAAATTATGATCGAAGTAGACTCCGCTGACAGTTAAAGCAATACAGGCAAGTTGATTCGTTTCCTAGTCGCTGTCACTAATGACGTCTCAAATGAATTGTGTATTTAATGTTTGCAATATTGTCCCATTAATATTCTTTACTGCTTCTGTCAGTAATTACGAGTCCAACTTGATAACACCATCTGTACAAGATAACACATCCTTGGATATCATTGCGATATTGCAGTTTTTCTATCCTCTGCGTTCAGGTGATTAGCAGCCGTCACCACTCAAGCCAAAAGATCGCTAGTACAACTGGTTCCAGATGACAACATTTGACTCATTATTATGTTTTGACGAACTTTCAGCGTGCATAGCACGGTACCGCTTGAAGGTTGTCGCTGTGTCGCCGTCGATCAGATTATACATAGTTAAATATCAGTACAAGTACATCATGCGTCATGTTACTGACCTACACTGTGGTGCTCAACTGCTATACACTAACAGATGTACGTGCCACTACAATTCCACGCCACGCCTTCCGGCCATGCATGATTCTTTTAGCGTATGGTTCCATGATTCAACGGCATGTGGTTAGACTTTGTGACACTTCTTGCATTCAGGTGGGATCTCTATCAAGTCATATAAAGTTTATCAGTGAGCAAGAGACCACCCACTGGCACTATATCATGTTGTCTTTCAGTCGTATACTGCATTCGAAATGTCGTATAATCATATACTGGAATTTTGAATTTTGCTTTTTCGACTTTTTCTGTAAGGTATGGAGTACAATTTTACCAGATCAACTAGTGGGTCACGTATGTTGCAGAATTCAAGTAGCTAAACCTGTAATTTACATTATGTTTAATCATATTCAGAGAGAGCGCAGTTGCTTTGCTTATGTATTGGCATCTCATAGCTATTCCTTATAAATAAAGATTCGTGAAAGAAATGACGGCGATGCTTTTGACCCGTGTTCATTTGTTAAAGGTTGAGATCGCATTGACCAGCGGCGTTGGTTTTTCGTTGTTTCATCACCATCTCAGTTACATGATAGATCGGCAACTTCCAAAGTGCGAAAAGCGTATTTTCAATCGATTTGGCACCGTGCCAGCTGTTGTTGAATATCTTCATGACAACTTCGGAATAAATTTTTTTGATTCGTGTTTTTGGTTGTTTATTTTCAAGCTACATTTGGCATCATCTGTGCTTTCAAGTTCAGTTTGTTTCAGTCATCCAGTGTCATTGACGTTTTACTGTTTTCTAAGCCGCATGAAGTGTATCCGTTTCGAAACAGTGTTATGGCAGTGTTTTGGCATCGTGGCGATGCTGCTTGGAGTTTGTCTTTCGTTAAACGTAAAGGGGGCGATTCGAAACAACAACCGCGCCCCTTTCAAACTGCTTTCGAAGTTTGCATTTCAGAAAACAGACCCGGCCGATGTGGAGCGAACGAGTGGATTTATTTTTGGCAATGTCACTTCAGACGTTCCATTAATGAGCAGCAACACCAGCGGCTCATACTTTGTCCTCATGGACTCTTCCAATTACTGGGCTATGGCGAAAATCAAAAAGTGATTTGTTTTCTTAACTTTTTAAAATTCGATAAGCTGATTTTTGGCAAATAACTAATTACAAATAGAAATAATGCACCAGGACGCTTTAAACAATTCATTTGCTATAGAGAGGCTCTTCTGTTGTCTGCTGACTTCAGCTTCTCGTTGCAGTCATTTGTGCGTTGTTGTTTATTTACAAGAAAGTTACAGTTTATGTAAAGTATGAACCAGTAATGAATCGCTATCGTAGAATCATACTCTAGTGAGGGAATTGTTAGAAAGCGGAACAAAAATTTGCTTTGAAGATCATGAAATTAAATCTGGCTATTGGTGTAGAAGAACACGCTTATCACAAATCGTAGATGTTTCATCGTCTTCCATGGCTTGTGATTGCTCAGTCATAAAATGCTGTCTTCAAAAGCGGTTTTCTGCTTCCAGTTTCTGTTTATGCAGCGATTAGAGCCATACCCATGTGTTGCAGTCCCTTTGTAACATGTGGTAGTGACGTACTGTCTGGTAAAATATAACTACAGTCTGCATGTCCCAGAAAAGGTCCATTTCCAGTGCCCCAAATGTTCTTCCTTAAAATCCTGAAAGATTCTATTTAAGGGACTTAAAGCTAGTTAGTGCTTCAAGGCGTCAATTGAAGGATTGTCAAATCGAGACCTGAATGGACACGCTGCAACAAGTCTTACAAAAAATATTGGAACCAATGGCTTTGTAGGTTACGAAAATTAATTGATTCAATGGCTGTTGCCGGTGATGGACCTGACACTTGACCATGTGGTGTAGTACCGGTCGCTCATTGATGTTGATGAAGATGTCTCCGGGGCCAAACAGGATAAGTGCCTGTCGAAACTGACTGGGTGAATTATACCTCTGTGTTAGACATTTGTGCGACTGCATCTGACATGTTTCTCACTATGCCTCGCTACTGTAGTGCTGAAATTTCGTGGCCGCATCTTTGTGAAGGATGTCATTGCCGCTGGTATCAATTCTTTCGAAACTGTGAACATCCCTAACAAGTTTTTCTTTTCATAGTTATTTCTAGCTTCAAAAACTATTAAAACTGGTTAGTTTCGTTATCACCTATCGGCATATCTAATGAAAACGCTTATGTAGCAGCAGCGTTATTGTCAACTCGTGGTTCACTTTCAGTAGATGCCCTAAAAATTAGTCATTCGTTCTAACGTGTCACGGCTGTACAGTAATTATACGTTTCCACTGCTAGGGAAAAGCTTGACTGATTTTATGAAGGAACATTCTCAGTTCTTACAAAAATTCATATTATAAACAAGACCCCGCCTTCAGGCTGCAGTCCAAAGTGGGTAGAAGACTAAAGAAGAAAAGAAGGAAAGTTTGTAGTCGTTCGAATTTCGTTGCACTTTCATGATGAAGCTATTCTATTGTCCTTCTTTTCATGGGGTTAATGGTGGGACACTGCCATTTCCATTACTGTTTTATCAGTCAGAGCTTTTAAGAGCAGAGTCCAGGACAGCTATATTGTGATAAGCATGGCCTTTAGTCCACTGTTTCCTTCGCACAGAATGGTGCACATTTGTCAACCTCAGAAGGAATGATGCGATCTTGTCTGGAATCCGGACTTCGCGGTTGAGTGTGACTCTTTACCGACTGGGTTGTGCTTGTTTGAAGTAGCGTGTAATAAATTCTTTAGGGAAATTCGTGGTCACGGTCAGTTCAAAATTGCCTTCCAGTTCTATCGAATCCAGCACTTCCGGAGTTCGAAGCCGACCTCTTAGGCATAAAAGGTTAAAGGGAAAGAGGTACACATGACATGTCGAGGTGTCCTCTATAAATTTCTTCTCATTTACGCAGAGGAAAGATGAAATTGCTAACGTAAGGATTATATCCTAAAAATTTCGGGTGAATTTCTGCTTGATCTCCTTTCCAGGAGGTATTGATAAGCTTTTGTTTTTGTGGCCTTGAGGCACTCTACGATGGAAAGTACACCCAGCCAACTTCAAGTGATTATATCTGGCCAGCCGTCTGCTTTTTATTTCAAAAGCCGAAGCGAAGTCATTTCATCAGAAATACTACCCTCTTAACAGAGTAGTGTGGGGATTGAGTTGGATCTTTCTGAATATTTTCATGAGACGGCATCTTCTTCATAGTCACGAAAATTTCTGCCAGGAATTCCGTAGGGGATGGCTAACTTGAACACAGTTTTTTGGAGATTGTGAATCTACATGTATTCAAAAGTCATCCTGCTTACCAAAGCTGGATCAGAGAACTGTAAGGCGCTATTCTTACTGATTATTGATGAAAACGTGGTACCGTCGTTTCATAGTGGCATATATCTCTGAGCAGGCGATAACGACTCCTCACACTAAGCTGAAGAGAATGGTTAATTCCTAATTGGTTACAGAAACGACATGTAAAAATTGGTCGGCCTATGTTCATTCCACTTGTGTCGAGCAAGACCAACAACATGGTTTTTGTGCGGTTGTATTTATGTCCTCAGCACATTGAATGAATCGTGAATGTGCTCTTCTAAGCTGGTTGCATTTTCAGACAAATGCATCACGAAAGCTTTTTGCTAAAATGGAGCTCTGTGGCTTCAGCCAGTGAGGCAGTGCATAGACAACTCAGATACTGTTTATGTCAAATTTAAGAATCAAAAATGAGAACAGATTAAGCAAAAGCCAATGAATTCTTAATTTAACTTCTATGCAATATCCAAATGGAAATCGTCAGTAAAGCGCTAATTGCTTTAGCGATGTAAACATGCGTGATTATAATTGATTGGCTTTTTCTAACAGTTATGAAGATGAAGTGTGTGAGTCGATTCTGGCGGGAGTCAGCAAAACTGGATTTGATCGTCGTTGTTTTCCGCATGGTGTTCAGGATTTCTTCCGGCGTGTACCCTGCGAGAAGGGGAAGCTGTGCGACGAAGAAGATGACCCTAGCAACGTGATTGCCTGCCACCAGTTCACGTTTCGCGTTCAGGACACGTTGAGACCACGATTCTGGTACTTACTGTTCGTTGATTGTTACCTGAACAGTACTTGCCGATGGGTGCGCAACCGTGACAGGCCGTCCTTACGCTACGATATATGGTTGGTCAACGGTCACCCGAATTGGAGCAGTCAGAACCCATTCGAGCACCAGTTCTCGGTCGACCAACAAGACCTGTTTGAGATCTGCCTAGTGGCCGTTGTCATCTACATCATCGTAACGATACTACAAGCTAAGGCATTCAATGAAAGACGGCGACTTATTGATGCCATGCTATTGTTGGTCGTCCTATTCAAGGTTTGTCAGTACGCCTTCTCTCTTGTGCACTATTCTTTCTTCGCCGCCAGTGGCCACACCCTCGACCATCTTCTAGCTATAGGAGAGGTCTGCTACATGTTGTCTGATTCTATGATGGTTCTGCTGATCATTTTCATCGCCAAAGGTTTGACAATCTCCTGTGCCATCTTTTTTCCGTCGTTGAAGCGGGCCGAGCGCCGTAAAACTTACCTCTTCGGTGCCTTCTACACACTATCAAATTTGCTTCTCTTCTTCATCAAACTGGTAACTATCTATTTCAGTATAGACAGTTTTTGCCGTTGGTGTTTGTAAATTTTTATTTAGTTACCTGTTTCATGGCACTTCTCCGGATTTAATCAGTAGTTATTATTCTTCTAAGATAAGCATTTTTAACTAGGAAATTTTTCAACATATGTTTGCTTATGCTGCAATGTAGTAAGTGTTAGTTCTTCACCCATATCAGAAAGAGTGTTGGTAATTGTCCAGGATGCAAATAATTTAAGATAAGCAAATTTGTTATAACTCTGTTTTTAACGATATGTAGAAAATAAAAAATATTTAACCGTGATCAGGATATTAATATTCATAAAATTGCATTTCTGTTGTGGTAATCTGAACATAAACTTGATCGAGCTGATCTTTATGAATCAGTGGCGTTCATAAAGCTAAAAATTTGTTTCGTTTTCTTCGTGATATACGGCAATACTTTCGTCGACATAATGTCAGTAGTGTAGTAGTGTATGAGATTTATAATTGGCCGTCAGGAATTATGTATCCGGATGAGTATAATTTTACGACTTTGTTAGCAATAAACGAACCGTTAAATTTTTTTAGCGCAGCACCAGGATTTAAGTTGTTTCCAGCGTTCATTAACTGCATAAATATACCAATTAAATTATGCAATTGATTGTATAAGTGTACCAATTTAAATATACTGGTAGCGCCAGTCGAAGGCTTAGTCTTGAACGGAAAAATTTTATGCCTTGTGTGTTTTTAACAAAGCTTTAATTCTTTACCTATGAATCAACCCGCTTGTCAAGTATTTAGATATTTGCAAATAATTCAGTATATCTCCGCAGCAATGGAGATCCGATCAGAATTCCATTTATTTGTCTACGCATCACATTATTAAATGTGAAAAGATTGTTTTGCAGTATAGTTGTGAACAGATTTACTACAGTACCTGTTGCAACAGTTTCGGTCTTTAAATTCTTACTTTAAATTCTACTGAAGTTGCCAGCCGAACGTCAGAGAGCAGTTTCAAGTATTCTAGTCAGGGACCACGACATTAAACGTAGAGATTTTGCCCTAGTCCGTGATTAACATGGTCTTCAGGTTTTAGAAATGATGCAGTGCCTGAAATTCGATGGTCCAGAAGTGTAATTGTTGACTTTAGGATAATGTTCAATTCTTTAGCAATCTGTTAGATTGCTAAGCTGCTTGTGTGGTAATCACCCTTGCATGGATCCTTAGAGATGCGAGCGATTGCGATTCCTAACTAGCAGCGAAGTTGTGCAAGGACTGTCGATTGATAAGAATAAAATATTAGTGGAAAATTAATAATTGGAAGCGTAGTAACTTTATATAAAGTTATCCCTTTATGTTGCAGTGTCACCTGTAGTCATTTATGTAATAGCTAACTTTTGATCTTCAAATACCTGCAGCAGTTGCGTATTCCCTAATTTGCTGTGTATATCTATAATGTTACTATGAATTTGATTTGTTTAAACCGAAGAAAACTGACATTCGTCTAACCAGAATATTGCACTGTGTTGAGTCACTGCTAATTTTGGGGAGATGATGAATGTTATCGCTTGCTCTTCCCTGTTACGCGCGAAAGCGCAGCGAATGTAATAAATGCGGTGACAGAACGTGTACAAAAATCTTTCGATCAGAAGCCCAATGAACCCATCGATCCTTGTCTGGGTTGAACCGATCTATCGTTTGGACCATCGTTTGGATCATATCGCTTAACCCAGAAAGTTTATCCAGAGCAAAGTGTAATTATCTGACAAAGCTCTTACAGAGCCAGTGCATCGATATCGTTACACTGCAAAAAAATCCATATGGTCGTGATCATCATCAGATACGTTTTCATATTCGGCAGTTGGCAACTGAAACATGACCTAAAGGCGTAGGTGACACTTGAGCATAAAAATTCCGTTCAAATCTTGCCTGTAACCTCGTCGTACTTTCTCTCCATCAAAACCGGCGACCTCTCGTAAACTTCAAAAAACCCCTATTTCAGTGGCCCTTGCAGCGCTACTACCATCAATCTGTCAAAGAGTCCACATCAATATTTCAGTAGCCACTACATCTTCCATGCAGAGGAACTTATGTTTTGGGTGTCCACCGAGTATCAGTTTCTCCAGTATGATTCCAAATAACGTGGCACTTTCATATCAGCAAGATAAATGAAATGCGATAAAGCTGGATTTCCGTGTCATGTCTTGTGACATCAGTGGTCACCTTGTGCTGTTCACAAGGTCTGTATTGAAAAGTTTTCTCAATATCAGATATCACCAAGTTTGCCTCCAATGGATCTGCAATTTCCGCTCGTTCATCCATCAAAAAGCAGCAATAAAACTTCTAGTTCTTCGACTACCATAGATGATTTGATAAACCGGATATCGTCATTACCAGTTCACTACCACAGCGTTGTAAGCCTCATTTTATCCGCTACTGAAGCTGACAGCATAAGGCAACGGAAAGTGAGAAACCGTTAGTCTCCGTTAAACGAAGCTCTGCTTTTACAGTATGAAACTGACATCAACACATCTCTAGGGTGCTGCTGCAATTACTGAGCACGGTTTAAAGAAGCAGATGTTGCAAAGCAGGACGTTCGCTTCACACAGTCAAGCCTGAAACCTTCGTCATTTTAGTACAGTATTTCTGATGATCTACAAACTGTCCCGGATCCATCACTGCACGGGTGGTTTACTAACTACCCTTTGAACGTTGATAAGAGCAGCATACGGATGATCCCTCAACACCAGACGTCTGTCTCTACAAAGTACGCAGATCAAGAAGTTAAAAATCTTTAAAATACCAATGCACCAGGACATGGCGGCATATTCTTTGAGTCCTTGAAGAACCTTGAAATAAAAGCGAGATGGCAGCTTCCAGACCTCTGCAATAACGTACATCCTTCCCGCGAGCTACCAAGGTAATGGAAAGAATCCAGTCTTTGTCTTCAAGAAACCTATTAATGATGCCACTGATCTTAAAATCTGTTGACCAATTTTTATCCTTAACCGTTGTCATAAATCGGTGGAAGAGCTGCTATTTCCGAGAACGAAATCATTCGTATGTATGATCACCAAGCAAAGACTGGTTTCAGAGCTGTTTGAAGTTGTTGTGATGAAGTGCTGGCTTTAACAAGCGGTGTGAAGCCGAGTACCAGCGAAAATTAAGAACAGCGGCAGCTTTCATTGATCCGCCCTTCACATGCGAAACTATGGCTTAAGGGGTTTTTGCTGCAGTTGTTCGTTGGTCATACCTTGCCAAGGGATCGAAAAATCACTGGGTTATCGTCAAGGTTTTGACTCCGCTAACCATGCAAAGAGACTGAACAGCGTTCTTTCCCGGGGCTCAATACTACCTCCATCTTTTTATATTGGTAGCCAATACATTAACGTCCATCTTTCTATATCATGGCGTAAGTTCAGCTGTGCAGATAATATCGCGCAGTAAACGCACGCGTGGCCATGATGACGGGGAAGATTTTTCAGGACGAGATCCATGCGTTGGAAACCAACTTCACCAGCTGGCGCCAGAAGGCCAATGCATTCATAAATTAGTTGCCTCAACATTCCCTATGAACAACCACTGAGCCACAGTTGTGATTAGCTTGAAGCTCTGCGATATTCCTCTATCCAAGAAGAGAACATGATCTGCTGCTCTTTCTGTGGCACCAGGACTAGAATGAACATCAGTAGGATGTTTTCTAGTGTACTGTGGAAGTGCGATGCCCGTACGCTCTGAACGTTTAAACGAACTAAAGTTGTCAATTGCGGAACGGTTCGCAGCTGCCATGTCCGGCTTGTGTATATCGAAACAAGTTTCGCGCTCCGTGTTGTCAACGGGATCCTCAGTCACAATACCGTTACCCTGGCTGACAGTGTTGGTGGCATTGTGCCAAGTTTTATTTGGTGGGGGTGGCATTGTGTGGCGTTTCCTCAATCCGTAAGTGTGAAAACACCTGGACCTACCAGTTCGCTAAGAAATCAGTGTGACTCCACATATTCGACTGAAATCACGGCCTTTCACAGTTCTTCTCTATTGGTTGACGTGAATATCCTAAATACCCACTGAATGGAATCGTGGTCAAGAGCGGAAGTTCTAAAATGCTCCTTGCAGATCTTACCAAAGAATAGCCAGGTTTATTCTTGCCTGCCCATTCGCCAGTGGACCGCGTTAAAACGTGTTCGTGCAAGACATGGCAGATGCGGATTCCTGCTACACAAATTGAAAATAAAATGAATCGCCACTCAGTGTGTTCAGGTGAAAATGCTGAAGCATAACGGACCACTGTCGCATCTGCTCTTATCTTACCGGAACAAAGGCGATCCACATGGCCACTCCGGATTCAGTGAGGTGGTTGTCAGTAACAACTATAATCTAACCAGCTGGGAGTTGCTAGGAAACAACGCGCAACCTGGTCAAAAGATTTTACTTGCACAGCATATATACAAATGACAACAACTGCCTGTACGAGACATCATTGTCTTCATGTCTACATAATCTCCCCGTTCCAACGCTGACTGCTTCTTTTATACGTCTGTGGATTCTTTGTTCATTCTCGAGGACTAAGTCGCGTTTACCTGCTGACTGTATTTCTGGTACAAGATGTGCCTTTGTCTTACGACGTGCGGAAGGAGAGCGCTCTTTCTTTCATTTCCGGTCCTTTGTGAAAAACGAGCACTCCCTCCTTTGTTCTACCCATGTTTCTGGTCTTTTGTAGAAGCCGAGAGCTTGCCCTTTTATTCGCTTCACATCTAGGGTGGCATGTGTGGGGTTCGCGCCCAATTGCCTCTACTTCATTACAGTCAGTTGTCGCTGATCGTTGCAATAAGAACAGTTGAAGTTGTAATGTTTTACGAAGGAAAAACATTAACTTTGCAACATACTTAGGTGTTTATGCAAAAACAGTGTTGGTGTTTCGAAAGAATTTTTGTTCAACTCAACCAGTGAGATGGTTATGCCTCAGTGCACTGCACTTTATACGGTATTATGGTTTGCATAAAAAGCTCACTGTGATCAGAGAGAAAAAAGTTTCTAACCATGGAGATATCGGTCTCTAATATACTTGTGTGATATTTAATATTTTTATATAGCTTATAACGCGGCCCTGATCTCCGTTAGGAGACCATCAGTCGGTGTTGCTTGAAGACACTATCAGCAACAGTGTGGGCACTACCATAAGTAGTATGTGGTTTTTATCGCATGGGACACTAACTTGTCTATTTCAAAAGGGTGAAAAATGGGTTACCCTACCTTGATTGTAACTCACGTTTTGTTCATCCACGAATCCGCTGTTCTGAGCTATTCTAACTGTAGTGTGAGAGTGTGACAGTAACATGACAACTATTAAATAGTTTGTTTAATTTTTGATTATTTTGCTCAACCTAGTGTTTCATTAAATATGAATTAATTACCTGTATGTTAACTTGATTTCTTCTGTTATAATTTTCGCCAATTCTTTTGCGTGTTTTTAAACTTTTCGTTTTGAAGTCATAACTGAAGTCTTGTTTACGAGGCTGCCTGGCGCCGTGAATGAACCGATTATGGAAACATGGCCTGGATGGTTGATGTTAATCGTCAGAGTGGTCGGAATGAGTTGGTTTTTATCGACGGTACGGCAGAGTCTCAAGAGGTGAAATTATTTTTTTTACTTGGAATCGTCTACCTAAGTTTACTGCCAGTTGTAAAAAAAGCAGCATCGGAACTGAGAATTATCAGTGTTGTTCGAAAGCGGATTACTTTTCAGCATACGTTCAGTATATATAGCTGATGATATTCTAAACCGAGATAATCTGCAGATATATATATATCATCACGCATTATTACGCTATGCGAATCATGTACTTATGCAGAAATATCAATTATTACTTGGAAAAGAATAGTTACATTATTTATCTTATTAATACGCGGGTACTTTTGTTGAGAGACATTGTGATTTGCACAGTTCAACGCTCTGCCTTCTGTAACACGATTCTGTGGTGCCCAATTAGGATGTAAGCAAATTTGTTGATAATCGTCTAGTTGTCAATGCCAGGAGTCATCATCATCATTTTTGAAATGATTCTGTGGTAGGAACATTTTACACCGTCCATTGTTTGTAGTTCGATACAAAAGCTCCCATGGTCTTTCTTTCCGATCTTTCTGATTTTGTAAGTTGAAGTTGCTTTTTTCTGAAGAGGCGGAGATCCAATTCAACGATTTCCTCTGACTACAGTTGGCCTCATTAACCCCGCGCTTTGGAATTGATGATAAGCGTTGCACTTGCCGCCGCGTTTATAAAATATGACTGACGATATTTTTCATACGGTTCATTGCTCTGATAGTTGTTATTTATTTGCACAACGTGCAAACTGTTTTTTGTTGAAAATCACATTTTTGTGTCTTCCTCGATATTATCCGTAGTATTTGATTCGCGAAAGACGACAGAAATTTACAGTAAAGAATCGCATGTCAGGGCAAATTATCATGTAGTGTATTACTTTTTGCATGAACATTTTCTGAACCTTGAAATTTTTTTAAAACAAAGCTGCGATCATGAACTATTTGGACGTTCCTGTCATATCTGTCTGAAAATTAATATTCTCTTAGAAACCTCAGCTGTTGTTGATGCTGACTTAAAAATAAATTGACTCAATCTGCTGCCTATGAATGAAGTATGACATTTCATTTGTCAGTCTGGCAGTGGACCTTTTTATTTGGTGAATAATATTATGAATCTGGATCTTCCTGTGACTTAGATGGTGAGGATCAAGGTAGCCATAAGTTTAGTGATTTTATCCACACTTGTATACGGTGCCATTATCCCTCTTTAACAGTAAAACCGCATTTATCATTGTCTTGCTTTGTATAATACCCTGAATTTTGCCTCTGGCGAGGGCGATCTCAAATTGTCACCATTTTAGGGAAGAAGACGAGCGTAAAGCGATGTTTCTCCTTCATTTTGGATCTGGCTATTTAGTGTGGTTTATCTACATTCCTGTACTGGGAACTATTTCGCTGAAGATTCCAGTTATGTGGCGACGCAAGGTGATCACAGGTATCACATCTTGTAGGTGCTGTTCTTATCGTTCATACGCATGA